AAAAAACAAAAATGTCTGCGCTGCTTTGTGGAAACCTTTGGTTGTGCTGCAGGCTGTGTTTACGCAGAGCAGAAAGGAGACAAGGATGGAATTAAATTAACAATCTAAATAGTAAATTATGTATCGTGTGTTTTTTTTCTCCAGTGTTGGTAACACGTGTGGACACGGTTGAGTTCAGTATTTTTTCTTCCAATCTTAGTAAAAATCAAAACTTTAAACTTTTTAATGATATATGACATTAAAACTATGTCACACTGGACAGAAGACATGTTTGAAGTTTTTGTACTTCTGGTCATGGTTGTTCTGTTTCCACAAATGTGCAGGACTTTGTATTGCAGTGAAAAATGAGGCCAGAGTGAGTAAAAATGAGAGAGAAGCATAAAACGCTAAAAAATGACTCCAGGTTCGGAGGGTTAAAAATACCATTCTGATAGAAAGGCCAAACAAAGCAAGACAAAACTAAGATAAAAGTCAAAACAAGATGAAAAAAGATGCCAAAAAATAATCAAAATGTCAACATGAATGAATCTACATAGAGGACTGAAAGCAATAAACAGAGTAAAGGCCATCTCTGCCTGAGCTGGTGCAGCAAACTTCCCTCATGGTTTTATTTTTTATTTTTTTTGAAAAAGAAAGGGATGTTTGTAGATATGCTCCAAAAAAGCCCGGTGCAGTCTGCAGAAATATGGAATCCTCAGCAAGAATTTTACTGCTTCGTGAGTTCACAGAAACGTCTGAAGTTCACAATCTCTCGTCTGTACTCGTACGACTCAGGTTTTTCAAAAACAAGTGAGTCGTCTGCTCATAAAGATTTATTTTTACCTGTCTAGTCCTGAAAACACTTCACCTGTCCATTCACATTCCCCTCGGTCTCAGACAGAGCTCTCTCTTTCTCGCTCCCATGATTCTCTGCTGCTCAAACTCAACCAAACCAGGAATAACAAGAAGAGTTTCCTACCGTAGGCGGAGTCGGCTGCAGACTCCTGGTTCCTCGTCGTCGCCAACACGTCGGCTGCACAAAAGGAGGCAGAACTGAAGTCAGATTTTACTGCACAAAACCATATTTATATAAGAGTGTGTGTTTACATGAATAGAATAGTTCTGGTTCTGAAACGCAAGCAGGAGTCGAGCGGAAGAAGCCGACAGCGGCGTAGTTTTAGTCTTGGCAAGTATTCTGTGGCTCCGCTGCTGCCCCCACATTAATCCATCAGTAGTAATAACCTTTAACTCGCAGTGGAGTATTTTTATATTGCGGTGGTGCTACTTCCTGAATCTGAATATGTCCTCCTTCATTTATCAACACGCCCCCACATCTGCAGGTGTAATGTGGTTATCTAACGCTGCCTGCCTCCGCCTCGCAGCAATCACCGCTGCCGCCGCTGGCAGATAGTCTGTTTTATTGTCAGAGTTTCATCGCGCTCTGATGTGCAGGTTTCACTTTTTTAATCTGCAACAATCGACAGGACATTCGTTCCCCGAGTTTGTCCTGAAGGCGACGCATCTCCCCAGACTTGGAGAAGTTGTGGCAGGATGCTTGCGTCGCCTGGGAGGAGGCGTCTATGTGAGCTGAACACCACAGATTACACGAAAAACTGCTGCAGCAACCGACTCTGAAAGGTGTTCACTGATACCTGCAGGATCGGTGACTGTCTTTGCATCAGTATACAGAAAGAAAAAAAACAGATGCACACCAACACACCTCTGGAAACTGGGACGCATAGATACATCTCTTCCAAGGTTTTTTTTTTTTTTTTTCCTTTAATACTGCTGCAGATAGAAACACAAACAATGGAGGCAGAAAATGATGTTTGGAGTGATGCAGGAAGGGAATTTAGTCTTTGGCCAGTGGAGGAGTTAAAGAGCCCACATTCTGCAGGGTTATTGTTTTCCCTCAGTGAGTTATACAGCTGCGTTTCTGGTACATGCAAAAGCTTTGAAAACGTATAAAGTGCACACTAACAGGAGTTACTTTTACCTGCCTGAAAATCGTCATTTAAAGTTCAAGCTTTTCTTCTGCTACTCATCTACGTCACCATGTAACACATTTGCAACAAACAAAGAATGAGCATCCAAAGATATTTCCTCTCTTGAGCTGCTTCTGCTAGAGCTACATATTTATGTCTATACTCAGAGATCTGGGCTTATGACAATGTTCCTCCTCTTTGATTTGACTGTTCAGGAGGAGGGCCTTTAAGAGGCAGGAGCTAAAGGGGAGCAGACAGAGCTGCTGCCACAATGTACAATATGAGAAAACAAAAAGAATCATCGATATTTTCAACTTTCCGATGGTCCTTGAATGTATCATGGCTAAAGTAAGGTTTTGGGTAAATGTTTTTAATTCTCTTACATCATTAAAATCACTTTATTCAACGTGTCTCAATCAAAAAATCACCAAAAATTAACAATTTGCGCCAGATTCTGCCAAAAACTAAAAGAAATCAGCTTTCAGGTGAACTACAGGCAGTGTCGACACAGAGGAGACAACAAGAGAGCGTAAGAGGAAAATAAAACATAATAGGTCGCTAAAATGAATGTAGCATGGCTCAAAAATAGTGAACAGAGGAGCGAGTTATTGACAGACACATGCCGCATGGTGAAACATCTTTCTGGAGTTGATGTGCAGAGCTCAGTTTGTAGAGGTTGCAAAAATGTACACAGTTAAACAGCTTGTAGAGACATTAAAAAAAAAAAAAAATTCCCTACTTGTGGACACTTGTTGGACATATTGATTCAAGACTTTCCAATTTAGGTAAAATAAATAATTATTTAATCTATGGCATTATCACTGTCACACTGTAAAGGAGATATTTCTGAGTTCTCCCTCCTTCTGGTCATGGTTGTTCTGTTTCCATAGAGGTGCAGGACTTTATGTTGCAGTGAAAAATGAACCACAATGAGGAAAAATGACAACAACAAAAAAAAGTCCAAACACTTCACATGCATACTCTAGTAACAACTAGAAGAAAGTATGGGTCCATAAATGTGCAGAATATGGGCGTTTTAACTGCGTATTAACTGGAAAGGATCAGCAGGTAGAAGCAGGTAACGCTGGAGGGATTATAGATCCCTTCTGGGCTGGGAATGCCTCAGGATTCCCCAGAAAGAGCTGAAGGAATCATCAAGGGATCAGGACACCTGGACTGCTTTGCTTAGAGTGCAGCACGATTCCAGAGAATGACATGATCATGACATATAGACGGAAAAACACGATTCCTGTGTTTTTCTATGCACTAATCAGTTATTCAGAACCAGATTTCTCTTCTCAGACTTCCCAAATATGATCGAAACCAGGATAAGGCCGTCCGCGGAAACGCGGTCGCTGCTGCCGTTTTACAGTCTGCTTACTTTTACACTGTTTACACCTCATATTACACCTGCTATCATCGTTATTGTGGCTGCAAAATGTCGGGTTTATCTTACCGTGGCAGCTGTCGGGGTGAAACGAGTGGTCGCCCTCGATATCTTGCTCAAACCCCGCCCTGCAGAGAGACGGACACAGAAGGAGGACAGGGAAGAATTTAAGCAAAACAAAAGGACAAAACATCAATTGCAAAATAAAACAAACAAAAAAAAAAGACACAGTTGCATGGCGGTTGCCGTGGGTAACTGTTGCCTAGGACTTTAATCAGTGATGAATATCCACGGTGACCGGATAACGAGCTGCGACAACGCTTAATTAGATTTTGTCACATAGTTCATCTCCAGCTCATCATTTAGTCTGAAGGCCGAGAGATTTTCAGAGGTTGACTGAGGAGAAGCAGCCGGCGTGTTCAGCATTGTTTGGTTCTCAATTAGGAGAAAGAAGGGTGACACTCGTCCAATCAGAAGACAGACGGCAACAAGAGGCGGCCGTGAAACACACACTCGTACACACCGGGAGCGAGCCGAGCAGTGCAGAGCTCGCTGCAGTAAATGAAGCCATTTACTTTCCTCTGGGTTTGTGTCCCTGCTGTTTACTGTCTCTGCCTCTGTCGCCTCCGATCTGACCTTCAAATCAATGTTTAAAGGGGCAACAAATCAGGATTTCACCGCCGCGCAGCACAAAATGACTGCACTAAAACGGTGAGTCGAGGGAGCCAGGGACGGATTCTTACTGCTTTCGGGCCTTGATTTTGTGCTTCAGGCGAAGACTTTTAACCATTTTCTGACATTCTAAAGACCAAACAAACAAGCAAATAATGGCAAAAGTAATTGACAGTTATTTTGTTGTGAAGCATTTCCTGGAAATGTGAACTTTCATTGATGCCTAAAGTTACAGTTTGTCCTGACAGCGGTCCTAAAGAAGACGGGCTCCTTAGAATTTAAAGGGCTCTATTATAATGTCCTATAATGTATCCTGAACTCTGGGCCAAGTGTGGCTTGTAGGCACTCCAATGCAGCATGACCAGACTCACAGTACAGGAACTACACATGGGTGGTATGGAGGGGTAGTATGGGTAGTGTGGAGACAACAACACAGTCATTTAGGAGTCAGCGCTCATCACTGTTGGTGCTTGACTTGTTGACATAACCGAACTTCCAGTGAGCATGACAAGAGTTGCAATTGGCCTAACCCTAAGCCTAAGTTATCGAGACAAATTTCAAAAACCTAACCCTATCTGCTTATATCACTTCCATAGATAATGCACACTTTAAGCATTGGAGATTAGCTGTGCTACCTGGTTAAACCACTAGTTTTGTTTAATACTGTAGTAGCCGGAGGAGTATTATGGGAGTTTAGTTTGTAAAGGAGCACTGTGACCGAGACTTCTATGAGGCTTAATGACTTCAGGCCAGCAAACAAGTGTTAATTAGGCTGGAAGAATAGGAGGAAACTGACTCTACACCCTTATAGAACATCCGGTGACTCTTACCGGGTATGGATTTGTGCCATTCACTTCAAAGCTTTTGCATGATAGGTACCGATCCCACTCTTATGATTGGGCTCAGTAGCTTTTGATGTTAACAGGTATGGGTACCCCTGTACATAATATGTTTCAGTGTACGAGTATCTGTTGTGCATTGAAAATGACTATATTTCAAGTAGTGTGAGGTCTTCACTGGTCTTAACTCAAACCGGCCCTGCTTTGATCTTGAAAGTTTGGGTCTTGTCTTGGTTTCTTTCTCTATCTGGAACTTTAAAAATGTTCAGCTAATTCCATGCGCATTTTAGCAGTAGTTTTGCACTTGCTCGCCTTTAAAGAAATTGATGGACAGATGGACCAACATCTCCGTTCCCGAGGACAAAAACACCCACAAGCAAAATTAGAAGTCTTTCAACAGTTATTTTGAGTTGTTCTGGCACCTTCTTATTTTTTTTTTTCAGTGTCAGCCAGAGCTCTTCGTGACTCATTTTTCCATCGAAAGGCAAAAAAAACAAAACAAAAGACGGAACTTTTGGCGACGCTCCAACGAACCGACGTAGAGTCATAAACCATCACCAGGAAGTTGGAGCTGGCGTGATGTTCCTGGAGGTGGCCAAATATTTCCCCAGAAACATTTCAGAGAATGAAAAGGTGCTTTGTTTTTCAAACTGCTGTGATCTGTGACAGAACCATTCATCAGTCTGATCACGCTGAGCCCACATCCCTATTTATCTGGCACAGTGTGTTTCCAGCTCTTTTTTATCACGTTCTGCATGTATTGGCAAAAACATTTTCCACCTGAGTAATTAAGGGGAAAAAGAAAAAAAACCAACAAAAAAAAAAAAACGTATAAAATAAAAAGGCCATTTATTTAAGAATTTTGTTCTTGTTTAATAAAACTGAAAAATCATTTCACCTGCTCATCTTTTACTGACCTTTTCTGATTCACCGTTAATCAGTTTTATTCATAGACTCAGTTTCCAAGCGTCTCTCTCTTAGTCTTTTATCTCTTAATTACGTATTCATTTTGCCATCTCTAAATGAACTGCTCTCTCTTTGCCATTAATTCATCTGCTGCCTGTTTTTACTTTTTGTTCCTCTTATTTCTGAAAATGCTTTTTCGCTCCGTCTATCTGCACTAATAGCTCTCAGTCGTTACTCAGGTCTCTTACATTTGCTTTTTGTTGTGCACCTCAGCAGATGCAGTGCAATCATGACTGTGCAGACCACACTGGCTCTTAAACTTGGATGAACACATCCGCCCATGCACACACAAAATGTAGTGTTCGAAAGAGCAGAGCGCATGGCTCAGAGTAAATCTGGAGTACATATAGTATGCCTGTATTTTTATCCCTCCGCCTTGACTCAGAAGGAAAACAGTGTTTACACAAACAGTAAAATTCAATACAAAAGACTAAACGCTGAACCACACATTCTTGGTCTTTTGGACTTCTTGAATGACTCAAAACTCAAAACTTGACCTGAGTCAAATGCATTGACACTTGACTTGGGACTTTAAAGGCGTACTCCTTGAGGCAAACAACTCCAGATGTGACCTAAGACTTCTATTAAATAATTTAAGACCTGACTTGAGTCCCAAATGACTCGGGACCTGGTCTAGGACTTATCTTAAATAGCTCTAGGACTGACCTTAAAAAGTGGGACTTTAAACTTTATTTAGGCTTATCTAAGATTACTTGAGACTTGATTTATACTTGTCTTAAATGATGGAACTCTTACAAGACTTTAATGACTCAATACTAAATTGAAATAACTCGACAGTATTACACCTGACCTTACACTTATCTCCAATAACTTGAGACCTGACCTGAGCCTTAAAACGACTTAAAACTTAGTTATTGAGTCTTGATATCACTAACTTAGGAGTTGAAACTGTATTGAGACTTATCTAAGATGACTTGAGACTTGATTTGGACTTGTATCACATGGCTTCAATCTTATAAAACATGACACTTGACTGCAGTTAAATGCATTGAGACTTTAATGACTTATTCTTATTTGAAATGACTTGAGATTTAAACCGTTTTAGACCTGACCTAAGACTTGTTTTGAACGGCTTGAGACCTGACCTGAGCCTTACAATGACTTAAAACTTACTGAAATCTTGAATTGAACAACACAGGAGTAAAAACTTCATTTAGAATGACCTGAGACAACTTGGGACTTGACTTCAACTTGTCTCAAAGGACCTGATTCCTACATGCAATAAGACTTGACTCAATTTAAGTAAGACACGTCTTGAGACTTAGATGACTTCATACTTAATTGAATGCCCTAATCAAAATTAATCGGTTTGGTACTGAAATGGTGAAAGACCTGAACTTAGACTCTTATCAAAACACTTGAGACTTGTATGAATCAAAATGACTAAAACTCATTCAAAGTCTAAATTAAATGACTTGAGATTTGTTTCTGCAAAGGACTCACTTCACAGATCAGTAAAACTTGACCTGAGTCAGATGTGTTTAGACTTGACTCGAGACTTTAGACCTGGTCTAAGACTTGTTTCAAATGACTTCAGACATAACTTGAGAGACAAGTGACAAGAGACTTGACGTTATACTTAAAAAGACTTGTCTATCCACCTACTTTTGGTCATATTCTGTACATTTTCCCCATTAGAAACAACCCTTATCGTCCCTTTACTTTCTCTCTCATGTACACTGTATTTATATCACAGTTTAAATACACATCACATCAACCAGAGGTAAAGGTAAATGAGTTACATAAGAGAAGAGGAGCTGTAGAATATTTAGAGCACATTAAACAAACTCTACATGCTTGGATTTATTATGAAATCATTCTGCTTCCCTGTCCTCGTTCACTCTATATTTACCTCTCTCCACCTCACGTATTTGCTAACTCGTCCACCCCCTCAGTCACTCAATATTTATCTCCCTTATCACTCATTCTCTCTCTCTCTCTCTCCCCATCGCCATCTTCCCTCCGTCTCTCGAGCTGCATTTATTTTATTTTTTATTTTTTTTCCACCAGCGTGGGTTGAGCTGTAAGTGAGGAGAGAACAGGAGGAGGTCGCTGCGACGGTGAGCCGCTATAAATCCCGAAATGCTCTCGGGCACCTGAACGCCTCGCTTCGTGTAGCGGGGAAGCGACTCGGAGGAGGGGACGGAAATAGACTCATTCAGTCGGTTATAAAATACAGCCAAGTTATCAGACGCCGCTGTTGCTGAATTGTGTTCCCGTGTTCTCGCCACAGTGGAGGCGTTAAAAGGTCTGAAAGGCTGTGAAATGTAATTACAATGTATAAATGGCTGCAGGAGCTTTACGTTCAACGGAGAACATTCACGGCCTCCGTGCCTTACCACCGTGCATTCACACTGTTGACACGCAGGCTTTGTTTCAGGACAGTTTCAGACAACAAGCTGCTTTCATCTTTATAGTTACGACGAGTCCTTGACTTGACTTGGACTTTCCCCAAAGGACTAGAACCAGGTCAGAGTATGAAACAGCGAATCACCAAACTCTGAATACTCAGACCTTTAGGTTGAAAAGAGGCTCAGATTTACAGACTTGAATTGAAACTATTACACGACTTGAGATTTGTGGGACTGAAGACCTGAATCAAATGCACGCAGACTCGAGACCTGAATGTA